TGTATTCTTGCCACCTCTTCTTGATGTCTTCTGCTTCTGTTAGGTCCCTACCATTTTTGTCGTTTATCATGTCCATCTTTGCACAAAATGTTCCTTTAATAGTTCCTATTTTCTTGAACAGATCTCTGGTTTTACCCTTTCTGTTATTTTCCTCTATTTCTTTGCACTGTTCATTTAAGGAGGCCCTCTTGTTTTTCCTTGCTATTCTTTGGAAGTCTGTGTTCCATTTTCTGTAACTTTCCCTATCTTGCATTTCTTGCAGTTGCTTTCTTGCATTTGGGATGGTTTTTGTTGCTGCCTCCTGGACAATGTTACGAGCCTCTATCCAAAGTTCTTCAGGCACTCTGTCCACCAAATGTAGTTCCTTAAATCTGTTCTTCACTTCCACTGTGTATTCATAAAGGATTTGGTTTAGATTATATCTGACTAGCCCAGTGGTTTTTCCTACTTTCTTCAGTTTAAACTTGAATTTTGCTATGAGAAGCTGATGATCAGAACCGCAGTCAGCTCCAGGTCCTGTTTTTGCTGACTGTATAGAGCTTCTCCATCTTTGGCTGCAGAGAACATAATCAATCTGATTTCGATATTGCCCATCTGGTGATTTCCATGTATAGAGTCGCCTCTTGTGTTGTTGGAAAAGAGTGTTTGTGGTGACCAGCTTGTTCTCTTGACAAAACTCTATTAGCCTTTGCCCTGCTTTGTTTGAACTCCAAGGCCAAACTTCCCTGTTGTTCCTTTTATCTCTTGATTCCCTACTTTAGCATTCCAATCCCCTAGAATAAGAACATCTTTCTTTGGTGTCAGTTCTAGAAGGTGTTGTTTCATAGAAGTGGTCAGTTTTTGCCTCTATAGCATGGGTGGTTGGTGCACAAACTTGGATTACTGTGATGTTGAAAGGTGTGCCTTGGATTCATATTGAAATCATTCTATCATTTTTAGGATTGTATCCCAGTACAGCTTTTCCCACTCTTTTGTTGACTATGAGGGCTACTCCATTTCTTCTATGAGATTCTTGCCCACAATAGTAGATATGATAATCATCTGAATTGAATTCACCCATTCCCATCCATTTTAGTTCACTGACACCCAGGATGTCCCTGTTTATTCTTGCCATCTCCTGTTTGACCACACCCAGCTTACCAAGGTTCATGGATCTTACATGCCAGGTTCCTATGCAGTATTTTTCTTTGCAGCATCAGAATTTCCTTTCACTTCCAGGCATGTCCGCAGCTGAGCATCCTTTCAGCTTTGGCCCAACCGCTTCATTAGCTCTGGAGCTACTTGTCCTTCTTCTCCGCTATTCCTCAGTAGCATGTTGGATGCCTTCCGACCTGAGGGGCTCATCTTCCCGTGTCATATCTTTTAGCTTTTTGTTTCTGTTCATAGAGTTTTCTTGGCAAAGATACTGGAGTGGTTGCCAATTTCTGTTCCAGGTGGATTGCGTTCAGTCGGAACTCTCCACTATGACCTGTCCATCTTGGGTGTCCCTGCACGGCATAGCCCATAGCTTCTGTGACTTACTCAAGCCCCTTCGCCACGACCATGCAGCAATCTGTGAAGGCGTGGTTCAGGTTATAGGAAGCCAAAGTTTAATTGACTATCAGGAGAAACCTCCTAATGACTAAAGAAAGCAGTGTTGCAAGGAAACCATCACCATGAGAGGTGGTGAGCAGAAGAACTCTTGAAAGCATTCAAGAGAAAACATCTTTTAGATGCTCTATAATTTGGGTTCCTTCCTTCATTGTCATTTTGCTGGGAGAATATAAATCAAATGGTCAGGAAAGTTAGTATTTTCAATTTTTTTAACATTTTGGCAATTGAAAATTTTGCAATTCCAGTAAAAGAGAGTTCAAAAGGCCAAAACCTTTATTTCTCATTGAACAACTCCCACATTTTGGTTTACATCAACATAATAAACTGCTGCTAATATGGAACAACTTTTAATTTTTATCTTCTTTCTGTCGCATAAAATTGAGAATGTCTAATCTAGATGCAAGGACTTGGCAAGTCCCCATCCTTTGACTTTTTGTCTTCCTAGCTATTGTTAATCTCTCCTGAAAAGTAAAGGAATTCAAAATGCTTTCCTGCATCTTGCATTTCGGTTATAAAGGGAAAATGGGAAGAATGTTATGGTTTCCACAACCAAACTTTATGGATCCCAACTCTACTATCTTTCCATCTGATTATGCAGGGGGGGAAAGGAATGGAGCCAGAAGGAGATTTCCTTCCTCCTTCTGATAGCCCTGGTGCAGTTACGGGGTTCCCATGACAGTCAAAGACCAAGAAAATAAATACCTTGGCTTGATTCCCCAATGTAACTAACTCCTGTGCTGCGCTCTTCTTTCATCTCATTTTTCTCGATTAGGTAAGAAACAGAAGAACTGGAACTCTGTAAGCCAGCTGATTTTCCACTTTAAAAAGACAATCGTGAAGCAAAAAAAGGAAACAAAATACACATTTAAAAGGAGAAAAAAGGCAGAAGGGAAGCTAAACAATAGCAGAGAAAAAGAACTCTACCACTTCTCTGAGTGTTTCTGTTTATATACTTCAGACCATCTTAAAGAAAAGAAAAGAAAAAGGTAGGAGAAAGTTTACAATGGGTAGAAAAACATTCAAGAGTACATCAGGATTCAAACACAATGGCAGTGTCCACCCCCAGGAAAAACAAAATCAATCCATGGAGCAAGAAAAGAGCATCTCTATGCATAAAAACTACCAAAGCAGTTGCCTGAGTTCACAGCAAAGAACTGAAACAGAGGAGAAACCTTATAAATGCATGGAGTGTGGAAAGAGCTTCCGTCACCGCAGTAACCTCAGTTCCCATAAAAAGATTCACACGGGAGAGAAACCATATAAATGTATGGAATGTGCAAAGAGCTTCAGTCACAGCAGTGACCTTAGTATTCATCAAAGAACTCACACAGGAGAGAAACCATATACATGCACAAAATGTGGGAAGAGCTTCAGTCACCGAAATAGCCTTAGTTCACATCAAAGGACTCACACCGGAGAGAAACCATATAAATGCAAAGAATGTGGGAAGAGCTTCCGTCACCGAGATAGTTTCAAAGGACATCAAAGAACTCACACAGGAGAGAAACCATATCAATGCATGGAATGTGGAAAGAGTTTCATTAAGAAAGGCAGCCTTAATTCACATCAAAGGACTCACACCGGGGAGAAACCATATAAATGCATGGAATGTGGGAAGAACTTCCGTCACAGCAGTGGCCTTATTTCACATCAAAGGACTCACACGGGAGAGAAACCATATCAATGCATGGAATGTGGAAAGAGCTACAGTAGCAGCGGTCACCTTATTGCTCATCAACGAAATCACACAGGTCAGAAACCTTATAAATGCATGGAATGTGGAAAGAGCTTCAGTCAGAATGGCATTCTTCGTAAACATGAAATAATTCATACAGGAGAAAAGCCATATAAATGCATGGAATGTGGAAAGAGTTTCACTCAAAGAGGTAACCTTACTTCACATCAAAGAACTCACACTGGGGAGAAACCATATAAATGCAAAGAATGTGGGAAGAACTTCAGTTTGAGCCTTAGCCTTATTTCACATCAAAGGACTCACACAGGACAGAAACCATACAAATGTAAGGACTGTGGAAAGAGCTTCAGTCAATTAAGTCATCTAAATACACATCAAAGGACACACACAGGGAAGAAACCATATAAATGTATGGAATGTGGAAAGAGCTTCAGTCGAGGTGGTACTCTCAGGATACATGAAAGAATTCATACCGGGAAAAAACCATATAAATGCATGGAATGTGGAAAGAGCTTCAATCAAAGTGGTAACCTTCGTTCCCATCAGAGAATTCACACTGGAGAGAAACCATACAAATGCATGGAATGTGGAAAGACCTTCATACACAGCAACCACCTTAGTGCCCATCAAAGAACTCACACTAAGCAGAAACCATAGCAATGCACGGAATTTGAAAACCATAGCAATGCACGCCAGTAGTCTTGGTTTTCATAAAAGTATTTTCACAGGGAAGAAATCATAAATGCCTGCAATGTGAAGAGAACTTTAGTCAGAATTTCAGATCCAGATAAGGATGCCTGACTCACTCAGGAGTCCAGAGAGCTTTACTGTATAGACCTGGCAGGCAAAGAACAGAAGCCTATGATTCGTCATAGATGACAGTATCCCAGTTAAGGCTTAAACTCAAAATGGTACCCAACAATCAATCATAAGCATTTCTGAACTCATCTGAGTATCTTAATACAAGTGTTTTCACTGCATCTTCAAAATTTGTTACTCTATAGGTTTTATGTCTCTACATCATTTCAAGGTGTGTGGTTTTTTTGAAAAAAAAATCGGTAACTTTTGTATACTTCTATACCTCTCTTCAATAGATTTTGTACTAGCTACTTTTAAATATGAAATCTAGAACCCTGAAATGATGGACTAGTGAATGGTTGAGGTCTAATGACAAATGTAGAGAAAGTACTAAGTATGAACAATTTCTATCATCACATGAAGACATGCTGAAGGATGGTTTGAGGAAGGGAGTAGTAAGTAGAATTTATAACCCAATTTTGCATCAGGAGGAAAATGACACTGAAATAAAAGGACTGAAATCAATTCGGAAACATGATTTAAAGACAAAAATCAGATCAGAGAATTGGACAAAAATTTGGAAGATGACATTTTTAAGCTTGTCGGTAAGAATAAAGAAGTTTTTTTAAAATTAGTTTAAGGTGGTACATTACTCCAGTAAAATGGAACACAATAAATTCAGGCTATTCTGAGGAACATTTTTAAAATTGTCGGTAAGAATAAAGAAAATCTTTTAAAATTAGTTTAAGGTGGTACATTACTCCAGTAAAATGGAACACAATAAATTCAGGCTATTCTGAGGCCTATTGGAAATGTGATGAAGAAATTGAGCCTACTGGAAATGTGATGAAGAAATTGGCACATATTATCATATGTGGTAGGAGTGTGAATTGATTCAGAAATTTTGGAAATTGATTTTTAAGGAAATATGTGATATGTTTGGAAAATATATTGAATTTAACTCTAAAATTGCTTTGCTGTCATTTTTGATTAGATAGAACTCGATTATTGGTCAAAGGACTTGATTTCAAATTTTATAACAAGTGCTAGAATATCAATAGTTAGCTACTGGAAAGACAAACATGAAGTTAAATTAGAAGACTGGTATGGGACAAGGCTACTGGAAAGACAACTACGAAGTTAAATTAGAAGACTGGTATGGGACATTGCGTTAAATGACAAATTTACTACTGAACTTAAGATGAAAAGAGGGGAAATAAGTTTAAATATTTTTATGCTATTTCGGGTAGATTTATTGAATTTGTATTAGTGATAGGAAAGGGGAAAGCCTCTTGGAAAGGAGGTTCATAATAAAATAATTGCTCCAAAGGGTCCCGTGTGTATAGGGGTGCACTGTGTTTTTTTTTATTGTTAGTAAGTATTTTGTATTGCTGCATTTGTTTTGGAAAAATAAAATATATTTTGAAAAAAAGTTACAGATTTTATTTTTATTTTTGTTGTAGCAAATATTTTGGAATTACAGGACCATCTCTAATAAGAGTAAAAATTCTTTTTAAGAGCAACGGAACAATGAGAACATTTTGAATACATTCCAAAAATATAATAATATGGTATATTAAAACAGCAAAAGACAGAAGGTATACCTATGAAAAGTTTTAAATATATAAATTTTAAAAATCTAAAGCAAAAAGGCATTACTCAGTTCTAAGCATGTTTAAGAGCCGACAAACAAAAATATTTCTGATTATCATGTAAGGGTGTGAAAACTGACCGGAAAATCATTGATGGAAGTGGTAATTTAGATTAGTCATAGCTGTTTTCTAAATAATTCCGCTACCTACCAAAAGAATCAGCTTGTTTGGGAACAGCTACTGATACAGTAGTCCAGTGAAAGGGTTTTGTTCACTGTGTGTCAGTCTTTGTGAGAAAGAGTAAGCAACGTTCCAATAGTGTAATGTGAACAGAGGACAAGAAAAAAAGAGAGAATTTTTAAAATGATACTTCTGTTGTATTTTGCTTATAACTTTAATTAACCAAAATATACCAGAATACACAGGGATAATTGTATTAACAAATGAAAATAAAATATAATGTATAAATTAACTAGACAAGCTTTAGGAATTATTACACTGAAGAAATATATTTTATCTTGATGCACAGATGTGTTTTGGAATGCTTGTCAATGATTGTCTGGTTTCATTTTGGGATTAACTCTTAACTGGGATGAGGTCAGCTATGATGAACCCTAGGCTTCCATTCTTTGCCTAGGAGGGGGGAAGTCAGGCATCTGATTTGGCACCTGACAGGTACATTCAAATAACAAGAACAATATTTGAATCACATATGACTAAACTGCTGTACTGCAGCCAAAACTGTGGTCACAACCTGGGGTTCAATCCCAGGTAGCGGCTCAATGTTGACTCAGCCTTCTATCCCTTCCGAGGTCGGTAAAATGAGTACCCAGCTCACTGGGGGGGGCATGTGTAGCCTGCATAAACTTGTAAACCACCCAGAGAGTGGTTGAAGTGCTATGGGGCGGTATATAAGATTCACCAAGGGAAAAAGCAGGATACAAATAGACATTGTCAGGTTGTTTCACAAGAACAGCTCTAGATGCCTCTATTTTAAGCAGGGCCAAGACAAACTGGAGCAGGTCTGAATACATCCCGCCAAGATTGTGGAGATCCTGAGAGATCAGCACATAGTGGTAGAGTGTGCGGTTTGCACATCAAGGGAACTGCGATGTTCCTCCCTGATCATGTTTCCATTTCTTAAATAGACATTGTCAGGTTGTTTCACAAGAACAGCTCTAGATGCCTCTATTTTAAGCAGGGCCAAGACAAACTGGAGCAGGTCTGAATACATCCCGCCAAGATTGTGGAGATCCTGAGAGATCAGCACATAGTGGTAGAGTGTGCGGTTTGCACATCAAGGGAACTGCGATGTTCCTCCCTGATCATGTTTCCATTTCTTAAAGACCAGGTCTAGAGAGTGTGGTTTGCACATCGAGGGAACTGCAACGTTCCTCCCTGATCATGTTTCCATTTCTTAAAGACCAGGCAAAACTCTTTTCCTCCTTGTCATCATCTAGCTGCAGAGCCAGAGGTTGGGAATTACGTCCGCACTGTTCCACATTGACAAGAGCTGGATTTATTATGATGATTATTTTTATGATTATTATGACTGTTGTTGTTGTTTTGCTGTATTTATTTATTTTATTTATTATTAGACCAAAGTCTACTCTGAGTGGCTAACAACAATATTAAAATAAAATAAAAGAACAATATTAATACAGAATGGCAAAATAAGTTGGATATCGGCAGGAGGGAAGGCCTGTCTGAAAAGCCAGGTCTTAAGTTGGCTCTTAAAAACGCACAGTGAGGGAGCCAGACAAATTTCTGGGGGAAGATTGTTCCAGAGCCGAGGGGCCACTGCCGAGAAGGCCCACTTTCTTGTTCTTTCTCTTCGGGCCTCCCTCGGCATTAGGCCCCTCAGCCGCCCCTCCTGGCTAGAGCCAATGAAATGTGGTGCTCTTCCCCAAGGTAAAACTGGACAACACTACAAAAAAAAGTTAAAATATACACAACTTTCACCATCCAAATATAGATACCCCGTTTTCTCTCAGCAATTAAAATTCCACCAAAAACCTATGGCCCCGCATTTAAACTCAATACTGCACTTGGGTAAAAACTGTTCTTGAATCTGCTTGTCCTTGCTTTCAATACCCTGAATCTCCTTCCTGATGGTAATAGTTTAAAGAGCTGATATCCCGGATGAGAGGAGTCTTTCAGTATGTTAGATATCTTCCTCTTACATCTGTTCTTATACAATTCTTCCAAAGAGGGGAGTGAACAGCCAATGATGTTTTGGGCCGTCTTAATCACTCTTTGAATTGCCTTTTTCTCTGCCACTGTGCAGCTCGTGAACCATACACAGAGACAGTAGGATAATATGCTCTCAATCGAACTCCGATAGAAGGTGATTAACAAACTCTCAGTCAATTGTTGCTTTCTAAGAATCCTTAGAAAATACAACCGTTGTTGTGCCTTCCTGATTAACGCAGCGGTGTTTGCACTCCAAGTCAGGTCATTTGTTATGATAGTCCCAAGAAACTTACATTCAACCACCTGTTCCACACAAACTCCATCTATATACAGTGGCTGAATGTCTGCTCTTTTTTTCCTATAGTCCACTATGAATTCCTTGGTTTTTTGGATGTTAAATAAAAGATTGTTTTTTTTTGCACCAGCGGGATAGCTGTAATACCTCGTCCCGATACGCAGACTCATCATCCCCAGAGATAAGTCCTACTAGTGTAGTATCATCTGCAGATGGAAGTAGGCGGTGCAGACCACAGATGCTACCTGAGTTTCCATGGGAAGTTCCGGATCAAGATGTACCCCCAAGCTGCGAACTTCAGTCTTTGTGATGAGAGTAACCCCCCCAAAAAGAGAGGGAGTTTCCCAAACCACCAATGTCTGGGCCACCCACCCTCAGGACCTCCGTCTTGTTTGGGTTCAGCTCAGACCATTCACCTGCATCTATCCCAGTACAGCATTCAGACAGTGCTGAAGGGACGGAACGGCATCCACTGTTGTTGGAAAAAAAGAGATGTAGAGCTGAGTGTCATCAGCATACTGATGACACGAAGCCCCATGCCCCCTGATAACCTGATCCAGTGGCCTCATGTAGATATTAAACAGCATTGGGGAGATAATTGAGCCCTGCAGAACCCAATTGAGATTCAACAGAGCCGATACACTGTCCCCAAGCTGTACTCTCTGGGGATGGTCCTCCAAGAAGGATCAGAGCCAGGCAAATGCCAGACCACCAATTCCCAGCTCAGAAAGCCTCCCCAGGAGGATACCATGGTTGACGGTATCGAAGGCAGCTGAGATATCGAGAATGACCACCACAGACATTTTGCCACTGTCGGCCTCCCTCAGGAGGTC